AACCCTCCCATGCCTCTGCTGGAAGTCATCCAAAAGTGTGGCTAGTATCCCAGTAGTCCGCCCCAATCTGAAATGTGCCTGAAACATTATCAATATAATCTTTTTTCCAGAATCCACAAAAGGCACAGCCTGATCACCACCTCAACTTTTTCTGAAGTTGGGTCCAGCATTGATTTGAGGAGGGGCACACTGCCACCTTTAAGGAAGGTGCAATACCATTGGACCAACTGCCTATCATTCCCCAGCTGGTCTTCAATCAGGAGGGACAGAGATTAAGTTAACTGGTTGCGCTTACAGTCCTGGGAACTCTTGTCTACTTTCTTAACAGTTAAAAGAGTCCATCATGTTATAGGTTGAACATTTGAAATATCAGTTGAGTCAAGTGTTTTAGCTTAGTCTGCATCATGGTGTATCAGTTCTCAGTTGTACTGGTTGCAGAATCCAAAGCGTGGATTGTCTCTGCTTCCTTGCTTGAAGATTGAGTCAATCAAAGCTTAGTCTCGCCTCCTCAGCATTCCCAGTTTTTGACTCCGTCTTAAAGCAAGGAAGAAGCACGGAGAGAGTGCTGCAGAGGAAGAAAAAATTAATCACGCTCTGGATTCCACAGACAATTTAAAAGAGAACAAAGAGGCAAATTCAGCAAACTGTGAGGCGGGCCGAAGCCATGACTAGAGAGAGCAGTTTGGCCCTTAGAAGAAAGCCGCTGCGGCTCCTAACGAGTAGGCGGGCTGACACTTGGCCATCCTGAATCACAGAGGGGCCCAGAGGGAAAGGCAGACTGGCACTTGGCTATCCTGAGGCCACGAGGCAAAAACGCAGCAGGGAAGCACTTAGAAAAGAGCCGCCATGGTCCCAAACAAACAGGCGGCTAAGAGCTCCGCCATCACCGAAAGCAGCTAGAGCGTTCCAAAGGAAGGGGGTCCCAAGCAAGTAGGAGTGTCCGTACTCAGTTGAGGTTGAGCATACTGTTGGGTATATGAATACTCCAACTGGTTTGGGTTGAATAAATATGT